TCACTTAAAAATAGTCTTCAAGGGGCTCTCTTCAAGCATTTCACATACTCAGCCAGTGTGCTTCTTTCTTAGCAATTTCAAAGCCTTGGCTTTAGCTTAGACATTTCAAACAACATCTGCTTTTAAGGCAGCACAGCAATGCTGAATGGGGTATTCTTACAACACAAAGATGAGAGGTCCAGCTTTCCAACCTTCCATATTAAAAATAGGACAATAACTCTATTGTCCAAGAAACAGATTTAAAAGGATAACAATGTGAATTAGTGTTTCTGGAACAGATGCTTTTCTTGTCTGTACTGCAGGTCACAGAACAGAAGCTTTAAATACTACCACATACCTAATGTATAAAAGAAAAACACTCTTACAATATTCTCTTCCTTATATCCTGAAATCTCTTTTACCTTGAAAGCAATGTGTGGTGCTGATCAAAGTACTCCTAGGGATGTGTGTAAGTAGAGAATAATCAGAATGCCTTCAGAGAGCTTATTACCAGAAGCATTCAGCATCTGAGCTGTTTGTACTTCTTCTGTGCACAAGCAGCAAGAAAAACCCAGCAAGTTCTGTTTGTATCCATGCTGTAAAGGGAAACTCTGAAGAGCAGGTGAGGAATGGCCATGGCTTCCTATAAACCCAACCATGCAATGATCTCTAATCAGCACTGAGCACTGAGGGAAGTACTGTAGAAGTGCAGAATACATACAGAACCCAGAACTTTGTAATGTAAGGAATGTAAGGAAACCCATCACTGACTATTGAGGAAATTAGAGTTACTCTGAGGAGCAGAGATGGCAAAAGGTCCTCACAGGGTGCTGTACAGCGGCATGGGATGCACAGTGTTGGGGTTGCAGTGACAGGTTGGGAAGGCTGTATCTGTAATGGCTCTTTCAATAGAAGGCCAAAGAGTTGAATAGGATGGGAAGGAACCTGGACAAGTGTTATTTTCATCTCAGATGTTATCTGTTAAGGACATGAAAGCCTCCTTTTTAGGTGTTGATCATTTGAAAGTCTATTCACCATTCTTAACAAAGCTCAATCGCTCCTGGTTACTCAGACTTGCTTTTCCTCATCTAACATGAACTCCCTGCAGTGAGAAAGTTTAGACAAACACATTTGAGAACGTCAGAATATTGTTTAAAGATTTGTGGTGAGAATGAAAGTGTGCAGGGCTGCCAGGTTACGGCTCAATCAACTGAAAACCAACCCTTGGCAGGATTAGTGCCACATACCAGCACCAGAGAACTCATTAAAACCAGAAAATAATATAGGTACCTCATATTGTAGGTTTAAAACTTCTGTAATTTAAAACTAGTGTGGATCTAGTGTTCTTCTCAGTTTCTGCAGGGGAAGACAAAATCCAAAAAGAATGTCATGCTGTTAGGACCCAAGTTTTCATGATGAGTGATGCTGGAGGAGCCTTTCCACCTCCAAAACTGCACCGATGGAATTAAGGAGGTCACTTCCTCTGCTTACTTTTCCTGAGTGAATTGTACAAAGTTGGAGGGTGCCTGTGCCTGAAGTCACACAGCTCAGCACACCTGATCACGGTTAAATGGATGAGAAGCTATCAGCAAACACAGCTAAACGTTCACAACTACAAACCATAGGATCACCAAGCTTGGAAAAGACCTCCAAGTACATCCAAGTCCAACCACCCACCCACCCCCAGCAGTTCCCTACTAAACCACGTCCCTTAATACTGACAAAGTGTTTCTGGAGCAGTTCCTGAAGATCTACTGATGGCAAAGATTTAAAAACGTTCTTCGTTCATCAGCTGCTCATTGGCTTTAAGCCTCATTAGAAAGCTCAAGATGCAAAAAGCACAACTTTGTTCAAACTGGGAATATGCTGTATTCAAAACCTACCCATCCATGTCAAAACTAACCAGACTCATAAAAAAGCAAAAAGCACATCCATCAACTAATGACAGCCACTTTAAACATATTCTAGTGATAAACGTTCCTTCCTTATTCCATTCAATGAAAGAAGATCCTTAATCTGCACAGAGAACAAAAAAATTAGGACAGCAAACAAGAAAATTCCCCAAAATACTTAAACACAGCTTTCTTCCAGATTAAAGAAAAAGCACAGAGTGCCTCAGGAAAATACATAATAAAAATGAATGTTTTCTAAACTATCATATGGGATTAAATGTCTTTTGGAAACAGCCAGCAGAGAACAAACAATGCATCCATGAGTTGCATTCTGAAAACCCCCACAAGTCAGGGCCATGCTCAGTGTCAGCTGGCAGCATACCATGAACACAGATGTGTTTTGCTTTCTAGACAGAGGGCAACGAATGGCAGGCATGCTGAAAAAGGGCTAAAAGTTTGCTTTTCACGTCCTCTCGTACCTCAGAACCAACCCAGATTCCTCTGCGCAACTCCAAGCCATTCAGAATTCTGCTCCAGACAACGAAAGCGAGCTGATGGGCACTGTAACTTTTGCCTTTTGCTGCTGAAGAAAACAAGTCTGCAGAGCTGAGCTGTTACTCTTCATTGCTTCCTTTTTTAATAATTTAATCTGTGACATACTGCAGGCTATGCTGCTTAGCATTCCTGCTGTGTGAGCAGGCCTCTCATCTCCACGAGGGCAAGAGAGGTAAGCATGGGGATTACTAATCTGATCTCTCCAAGCATTCATCAATCTCCAGGAGATTTTTAATGGATGACTGTTCTAAAGGTCTGAAGAAAATCAGATCTGAGGACGTTAATGGATTAGCCATTTCCTCACAATTTACATATACAGCTGTGTAAAAGGCCAACATCACATTTGTCTGGACAAATCCGTGCCAAAACCACCAAGGCAAAAAGGGCATAAGACAACAACCTCCCTCCTAATGCTAGAAACTTCTCTCCTGACACAGGGATTGCAGAACTGTATGAAATATGAACAGACCCCACAGAAGGCATGCTTCATACACAAGCCCTGCCATTGCAGCAACACCCCATTTTCACTTGGGACATTTAAGATTATCTGAACATGTCTCAGTCTTTCCTGACTTAAAATCTGGGCCAACACATGCTAAGTGTGAGCGTGCAAAGTATTTTCCCCTCTCTGGTAGCATAAGCTTTTCTACCTCATGCAGCTTTAAAGCTCTGCAATGAAAGCTCAGAGAAGAGTTTCTGTTATAAATACTGAGTGATACATACATTGTATACTGTTACAAATGCAGCCTTTTCTGATGATGTTGTGCATACCAGACAGTGCTCATGAATGCCCAAAGTATGCCTGCTTTCATAGAAATTCCACAAAGTTTTTGGGGTTAAAAAAAGAAGAAAAAAAAAAAAAATCTTTAAAAATACTTACTTCAATTTCCATTGAAACAATACAGGGTAATTTGAATCACCCTGAGCAGCATCTGCACCACAGCAATTTTATCACTTCTATTTGTGCCATTCCTCCTGCTATCAGCCATATTAAAACGGAATAAAGAAATGAAAGTTGACAACCTCCTTTTTCATCCTTTCCCCTGGTTTCCACCAAAGCAGCATATGATGTGTTTTACTGGCCTTCTTACTGGCACTCCAACATGGAAAACAGCTACAGGCTGTTTCCGAAGACCTCCGTGAGCACACCTTGCATTCAGCCAGCTCCTATAGCCAGGGAGTTCTGGCTTTACATTCCACAGGCTCAGGATCTATCTCTATTCCTTGCATCATTAAGTTAGTCAGAGCCAAAGCTATTATCAGTGATGCCTCCTGCTTGCTGCCTTCAGTTGACTAATAAGACTCAGACCTTCCTCCCACTGGTTTCACCACTCTGGAAGAAATAGTTAACTAGAACAAAGCTTGTAAAACTGGACATTTTAGGATTTCCTTGTCATCAGACATTGATCAAAACTTGAGCACAAAGACTTCCAGATACTCCCTAATCCGAGGAAGCAGAGACCTTATGCTAAATTCATCTGATTCCAGAAAGCACAGAATAAATTTCCTCACGCAGAAGCCAAAAAGGAATGAAGATGAAGTTAATCAGGAAAGAGTTCAACAAGGAACTTATACAACTAGCACAATTACTTTACGTAGATTTAAAACTCATTTCAGCACTATCTGCAATCTGAACGTTTTTTGAGAGTGATTCCTGAGACAGCTAAGAGCCCTTTTATTCTCCATTGACCACTATGAAGTGTTCCTCAGGAGCAGCTCATCAACACAACGCACACACAGGACAGATCTCCAAGAATCTTTATGAAACACTGTATGGGCATCCAGACAAATTAAAGAATCTCAGGTTCAAATGCTTCCAAACAATATTTTTAGAAACCATCTTTGGTGCATGAGACTTTCAGTAGATCAACTTTTCAAGTTCAACAAAGAGCAGAATTGATCACAAGTTATTTCCATCTAAAACTCAGTGCCCCTTATCCCATCTTGTTTGTGACCAAAACTGCCACCTAACATTCCCTGTTGTAATATTTCCAATCACATAAAATAGAGCATCTTTATAAGGCTAATTTAAAATTCTTGGACTTCATTGAAGGTGACATATCTAAAAAAATCTGTTTCAGAAGCTGCTGACACTGTCCATTATTCTGCTAATAGTGTCTTTCATATGAACTTACTTACAAAACTGTTAAGAGTTGCTAAAATAAATACTTTTCATTTGTGAGAACTAAAGGATGGGTTGGCACGAACACTTGAGATGGATCAGTAGATTCTATTTCCCAGAGATGGCATTTGTTTTCCTGAAACAACCCAGTGACAGAAAATCCTTGAGTAACTGCTACAGGGGGGGGCATATATTTTAAATTTTACAGGCAATTCTAATTAGCTGCTCTGTCTGTAAAGCTAGTATAGATTTTATCTAAATATATGTATATATATATATATATATAAAATATATCTAAGTAGATATATAGATTTATATCTAATATATAAAATATATTCACTCAGCTTATTATTCATTCCTATCTGATGCTTGCTGTGCAGAAGCTTCCAGCTGAATTTGGGTTTATTCCACCCTCCCATTTACTTTTCTCATGTAGTCTCAGACCAGCATACCTTCAGAGTTCAGCGTAATAAGAGTGACATTGTTCCCAATACTTTGGCTTCCTAATTGTCCACTGTTGGAAACGGAGTCACTGGCCTCAGAGCCACTCTCTCCATCTTCGTTGTGACTGTCGTCGTGCCCTGGAACCTTCACCACTATGGTGTTCTGCCTACGTCCAGGAACAGCACTGCAGAAAAGAGAAGGATGTAACTTTGGAGAAACACAATCCTTGATCAGGAGAAACAGCAGAATAAAGACAAAGTTTCAGTACAACAGTTTATACAAATGTATTAAGAACTATCCTATCCACAATCTCCAACTCCACTTAATTTTAACTATGCTCTTGATAGCACAAAGTTTAACAGCCTTGCTGGGCTGCTGTGTATTCTTTATTCAGTTGATTAAATACAGGATATTGGCACGTTCCCAAGCAATTATGTATCCATGTAAAAAAAAATATGCAGCTATGGGAACTCTTTCAGTTGTCATCTCTCAACCAACACTGAGCTCATCCCAGATCCTCTAAGATGTCCTCTGCACACCAGCAGCAAAGCAGTGCTCTGTACCTTCAAATGCAGGCTTTCTCCAGGCAGGACTGATGCATTCATTTAGCACTTGCAGTTATTTTACCTTTCCCCCCCCCCCACCTAAAACATTCCTCACTTTTACTGGGAATTGCTGCAGACCGCTGCTGATCTGTCAAAGGAGGAAGAGAAGGGGGAGGATTCCCAGAACTGCTACTAACTTGCTAAGGATATTTTCCAGAGAATCCGCTGCTCTGCTCAGTGGCTCTTCCTGCCCAACCATCTTGGCTACAATTGAATTCTGCCGGTCGTTGTTCAGTATTACTGTGGTCTGGGGAACAACACTGCAAGACAAAAGTCAGAGAGGAAAAGGGAATGTAAAGGAGAGAACCTTTGAAATAAGACATGAACACAATCTCATTGTTCAAGTAGCCTACTTAAAGAACAAGGCTTAGAGGCAGTCCCTGTTTTTCCCCCTGCATCACGTTTACGTATTGAATGCTAAAGCTGGTAATCCATTGATTCCAAGTCCACTTGAATCCATGTCCACTGGACATCTGTACCACTTCAAGCACTCATAGTGTTTCAGAGGACAGACAGCTTCAATGGAGTTATATAAAAGTCCACAACCCCTGGAAAAGTGATAAAGAATCCATCAACTCAAGACACACAGGAGGAAGTCTGCAAACCACAGCTCCAGAGAGTCACCAAATTCTTGTTTTGAGAAGCCTGGAAGTGAACATTTTCAGAGCTCCTACAGCCAACTCACGTGATAAAGCATCTCTGCTAGCAGGACAATCCCCAGAAAAAGAACGTGAAAATATTGACAGCAGAATCAGATATGGAATTTAGTTTAAAAGCACATATTGTTGGGCAACAAGGGCTCTCAGGGGCACGGAGGTGAGGGCAGCACTGAGGGCATCAGAATAGAACATTAAATAACAACAAGACTAAGCTGTTTCTTATATTAAATCTAAAACAACAGAAAAGCAGTTAGTAGCAAGGAGAAACCAGCAATGAGAAACTCTCATTAAAAAACAACACTAAGTCTGCAATACAATACAGAAGTAAATGTAGTAAGCAAATGTCTTTGACATGCAATTTACTATTTGATTTTGTTTCTGAGATTACCATCATTGTTCCCACACTGTTACTCCTTGCTCTATCTGCTGAGCAAGGCATCGTTTTGATGTCAGAGCTGATTTTGGTCATGGTGAACTGAAGGGAAGAGAGAACTCCAAAGAGATGTTTGTGTTTTAGCCACAGCGAAGGCTTTCTTCTTTCTCTTTGCTCCACACAGTAAACAGTCTGCTATTGTTTTTACTTGTCCGACATCTCAAACATAACTGATGGCCATTTATTTTTCCTAACTGTATTCCTTGGCTAATTGTTGAAAAGAAATATGAAAGACAAACAAATTAAACAAATGTGATGACAGCAACTCTGTTTATTTCAGCTGTAACAGCGCCCGCTCGCATGAATATTCATGTGTGCTCCTAAGACTTTAAGTCCTACAATATCCATCGTTAAGATCCAATGGAAAGATAAGAAACTGTCCTAAGAGCAAACAATAAATGGATCTCAACTTTGGCTCCGCTGAAGTGGCTGATATGGGGTTTTTTTGGAAACAAAAATCCCAGGGCCTAATGCCCCCCTCCCCCATTCCAGCAATTGGAATCGTTGCTAGTAACAAATGGGATTCCTTGAGGACTGCCAATGATCTGTTGGACTGCAAAGCTCGTGAAGCTCTGGAAGATGTTTGTCTAATCATGGACGAGTACAGAGTGTGCTATGGCTTCCCATGTCCACGCGAAGTTCAAGTTCTATTAAGCAATAAACGGGTTGGGATTTTTGGTTTATTTTAGTTGCAATCTGGAGCATAAAGGCTGACGACGTTTTCACAGTCACTTTTTCAACATGATCTCTCATTAAAAGAAACTATGCACGTTACCAGACACCACATTCTCCTACTTAAGTAAAAAGGCAACTTGTATTTCCCCCAGTTTTAAGGCCAAACACCCACCAACTACTTGATCAAACAGGCAGCAGCATTGGCAGCTGCCCCAGCCCAGCAGCCACGCATTCTTGTTTCATCCCCCAAGTTGTCCAAACGGATGAAGTTTTTACAGGCCAGCTTAAATGGCCACAAATTTCACGCCTCCTATCGGATGTTATTAACACCAGCTTTCCCCCAAACATTTGCGAGTACCTTCTTAAAATTTCACTCACCAAAGCTCGTTTTTAACGAACGCTGAATAATTAATGGCATCTGTCGAGATAAATTCAATAAAGTTCCATTTATCAACTCCCTAAGCTTTGGCTCAAATTGAGCTCTAATTTTAAAAAAAATAGTCTTAGCACTAAAAATAAGGAAGTTTGGTTTGGTTTGTTTTTGTTTGTTTTTCTTAAGAGAACATTCATTTTTAACAAAGACACTCTGGAGATGAAGCCAAATGGCACACACCTTATTTAAAGCCATCGTGAATGAGGAAACACTTTACTATAAACCATCAGCACACATTTACCCCTCCCTCAATGCATCAATATATGTTCAAGTTCACAGATTAAATCCACAATCCTTTCTTCCCTCCAAATTTACGCCTACAACAAACACCAGGTCCTCTCTGAGCATTGTCCTATTCACTAAGAGAGGTTAAGTTATTGAGAGGAAAAATCCACTATACGGTTGTTTGGGAGGAGCCACTAACTAAACATACCATTTTACTGACACTTCTTTTCCTGGCTATACAGCACAAAGGCAAAACCAGACACCACAGACACAAGGAAAATCTTAGTAACCAGTCACAGCAACAGCCAACTTGTCCATCAGTTGCTCTGCACTTGGAAATGAGCTGTTACCAAGCGGTAAGGATTCAGAGAATCAGGTTGGAGGGGAAACTGAGTCACACAAAGCACTATGGTAGAGAACAGCATCTGTTTGGGGCCGCTCAGCACAGCACAGCACACAGCAATCACTGATGGATCTTTCTCAGCGATTAACCTGAGTGGGAACTCTACATCTGGTTTCAAAATAACTGAATGAAGCTTCTTGTCCATTTCCAGGAATCACGAGGCGGCGGATAAAAGATCTCTTTCAGTGCTCTGTATTTAACACACACACAGGCTCTGGTACAAGCCATTCCGTTCTACTTTGATCCTAAAAGAGAAAGATTATTATTATTTTTTTTTAATGCGTAATGCTTAATTCCTGAAGACCGATGCTTCCAAAAGCAGATGACCTAAGGAGGAGGAGGAAGAGGTTGCCTTTCTGTTCAAACCATCATGAAGGTTAACCCAGAAGCTATCATTCTAGTCCATGCTCTGCACATCAGAGCGCTCCGATGCTGCTGACCAGATCTGACAACGAAGCATCACAAGGCAGAAAGTTCTGAGAGCTGATGCTGTGAAACCTGAGCAGCTAATTATCTGGAAGGAGAACAAAATAACAGTTGGGACCAATACAAAAAGGGAGGCCTGGTGCTTGCCAACAGGATTTCAGTCTCAGTTTGTACACAGGCAAAACAGACAGGCACAGGATTCCCTGCAGATATGGGAATGCGCTCCCCAGTAAATTCCCTGTGAGATGTTCTATTGTCTGTTCTCAGTTTTGTTTATTTTAGGGAGGCAGCAACAAGAAATTTGCTGAACCTATACAACTTTAAACAAGGAGTTTATGTAGTCAAAACAGAAGGGGCAGCCTTAAAGAATCCAACAGAGGAAACTGTTAAATCCTATTACAGCCTACTGGGCCCACACAGCGAATTATTCCGTTTCCTTTTTTGTTTTCTTTTTTCAGACTGCAAACCTTACCCTGTAGATGAGTCTACTGTAAGGATTACTTTTATCATTACAATTATTTTATGCACTAAACGAAAATCATAAAGAAGAGGGAGGGCAGCTACCACATCCCAAATGAAGCAATTCTTTCTACGAGTGCTGCCAGTACCATACTCATGAAAATGATGGAAAGAAAGTATTACAAGTACTTAAAGTACTAAGTATTAAAAGGGGTCAGAGGGAGTGCTTTGGAAACCCAGCATTGTTGCATGGGCTTCAGTAGTTTCCATTTATGTTCACGTATTCCTTTCCCCATAAGCATTAGAACTTGGAGAGACTGCTTCTGCAATGCTGTCTGTTCTTGGCCACAATTTAGTTAAAAAAAATAATAATAATATCCTAACATCACGATGCTTGTAGATAGATTTATATTTGGGGATGATGTTTCTTAATGTCACTAAACAATTTGCTAAATTACAGCAGAAAACATTTTTAAAAGAATAAACACGCCAGATAATGATTTTCAAGTGTGTACATTCAGCCTCTGGCTTTTTATTATTATTACTTTTAAATGCACAAGACCTTTATCTTTTGCAAAAGAAAAACGCTGCCAATGGTAATTTTCAGTCTGGAAAATGAGAAAGTTAGATCGGATCATTACTCTTCACTCTGTCACCTTTTTTCTTGCCAATAACCTGTCAATCACACAGAACATCATCAATGCCATAAAGGAACTCGGCCTCCGTGACACTGCCCGCTCTCTTTCTCCCAGATTAAGCTTTCATTTAGCAGAGCAAAACAGAAGGAACTAACAGAACTAACCTTCTGCAGTGCCTCTGGACATACTACTACAAATAGTTATGGAATCTTTACAGCAGTCCTGAAGCACTTAAAGAAAGAAGACAGTCCTCTCTTCAGGCCATTTCTGAGCCTCCTTTGCACATAAACAAATGCATGCAGCTCCTAATGTTTCAGAAGAGAGCAAACTTGCCACCAGCTAAATGAATGGCAAGTGAACACTGTTCACCAAGCAGAGCAGTAAAACACCTGCTATAGGGCAGAGCATGCAAGCCAGGCACTTGAACAGTTAAAGTTTTAATGTCCCTAAACTCTGCAGTCGTCTAGCCATAGGCAACTGCCAGAAAAGCAGCAATGCTATCCATCATTTTCAGGAACAGTTCAGTTACCCAAAATTATCTTTGAATTCTATGCATCTGGAATATCCCCTACAAGCAGACATTATAAAGACAGCATTAATGATTAGGTTTCATACGAAGACAAGCCAAAGTACACCAACCATCGTGGGAGAGAGAGATTCATGAATCTGACCACTGAGAAAGCTGTAATTCATTTATAACAAAGATGAAGTAAAAGCAGCATTTATTAAAACACAATTAACTTGAGCTGGAAACTCTCTGTAAACTCCAGACTTGCTCCAAGTCACAGAAAATATTTATGCAGAGTTTGTGGTGCTCAGCCTTACCTACAGAATCTGCCTTTCAGTTGGCTGACAATCAGGAAGAGATGAATTACAGCTTTCAGACCAATTTTATCAACCAACTTAACA